TAGTTTAATTTAAAACAGTGACAGTTGAACTTGCCCCAAAGGACTGTAACCGTATTTTTAGACATGCACTTGTGCTACCTGTCTGTCAGGCAGTTTCTAGTTGCAGTGCTTTTTTTGCCTGTCTAACAATATCTCTGTCACGGTGTACCAGAGAGGAGTAACAAGGGCTTTCTGTCTTTAGGCAACGTGTGTGGCAGTCTGTCTCCTTACTTTAACACTTCCTCACATGTAGAAGAAAAGACACAACGACAAAACAAAGATAGTGCCCACAGGCTGCTGGAAACAAGGCACAAGAAACTCCCCTGATACATTCTAATAGATAATAATTGAGAAGTTTCTCAGCTTTACAAGCTGCAGGTACATACATTGACATAGGACAAAAGAATGCTCTTGCAATACCAGTATTGTAGGTAAAAATGAAAATGTTATCTTTTGTGTATTTCTTTTTAGTATAAGGATATTCTTCAGCTTTAACGTTCATGTTTTGGATGCTTAGCTACACGTTCGCTTGTTTTCCAGTGTTCTCCTTCAAGGTTATAGACAAATATCCAATGAGATGTGAGAGATTTTAAAAAGATCACTGCAGATGAGCGAGTAATTCTGCAAAATCCGCCTTTGATGTGGTTTATGGCCTTTTATGAAAGGTCCCGCGGGGCACTTTGAGAGGTGAACAAGAGCCATCCTTCTTGGAATTGGCAGAATGAGATCTGCGGGTTGTATCATTCCTGGGAGATATAGGCACAAAATCTGAAAAGCCTCTATTAAAGTATACCCATCTCTTTCATTAGTTTTCACAAGGCTTTGCCAACTGCGTTCTGGAGCTGCAATGACAAGGTTTCTTCTGAAACACAGAGATGTCAATCTGGTAATTCCCACAATAAAGAAAAGAGAAACAAAGTGTGTATGTGTTTGCCATTGGGGTTAGTGTGATTTTCAGGTTGTATTAATAGAATTTTTAATGTGAAATACACACTAGGAGCTGTTAGGAGCGTGCTTGTTATTTCAAAATGTAATTTATACTGAATCATACATATATAAAAGTGTAGTTTGACGCAAAGTGAAATAGTTAATAACCACTATTGTCATCTGAAGCAGTGTAGTGGAACAGTTTTGTTATGTTCATAAGCTGTCTATTCAATTTTGGCATCGTTTTGCAAACTAATTGTACACTTCTTTGATGAAGTGTTGTTACACTGTGTGTAATGCAAACCACGGTGCACATCATGCGTAGAGATTTCATTATGAAAACAGTCATTTGTATCTCCACTTTCCTTTCATTTTAGATTTTTTGATATCCTGTTTTGCGTGTTCATTTCATTCCCCCATCACTCTGATTGTTGCACTGTTAGTATTATCCCAGCAACAAATACGTTCTGAACAGTTGTTTAAAATATGACAGTGATTTGTCATGGGAAAGCCTAATAGCATTACAGGATATTTTGAGGTTTATTTTTAAGACCTGCTGTGTTGAAGTCTGAGCAACAGTGATATTGTTCCCTACACTATGCCTTGTATTCATGCTTTGAGGAATGTTTTCAGGAGCACCTCTACAGAGCTCAAATTACGTTAGAAAATAAAAGAAAAAATCTGTAAATGGAGTTGACAGATTGTACATAATTGTCTGTCTCAGCAAGTAGTGTCTGGACTAGAGAATGGGATGTCAAAAAAGGGTTCTTAATGTATAAATGAAGAGTCTTGTTCTTTGCTTCATTTCCAGCATAAAAAAGTTTGGTCTTTCCATGGTGAAATTAAATTCCTTTGAGACAGCTAATTTATCTCTTTTAATATAAAATCCAGAGACAACGTGTTAGTCTTGTAATATCATCTGCTTCTTGAGCTTCCTCATATCTAAAAGATCAACTTGGGAATATTGAAAACAGCTGTCTGTTTAGTCTCATGTACAGACTGCATATGATAAGAGTTTTTTTTTAAATTCATTTTTAATCGCAAAAATGCAAGCAATACATTTGTATGGGGAAGAATGTAAGAACCAAACATAAAAATATCAAAAAGACTCCTAAAATAGCTTCCTTTTGCACCTCTTGTAAGTTTGGATTGCAGGATAGCAAAATAAACATATTCCCATTCATTTACAGAACAATCTTGGTCTCTGCACACTTTATCACAGGTGGAAACATTCTCATTTTTCTTTTTATGAACTATGCAAATTTCCCGTCAGTATATTAAAACTTACTAAATATTATTAGAAATATATCTCTTTTAATTTAAGGTATTAATGCACCTGAACTCTGTTTACATAGACAGTTGTGGATTTGCACAACAGCCTTCCTTTTCACAATCTATCAGACATTAGGAGAGTTTATTGGTTTAATTAAGTAATAAATTATTTATACAAAGCTGAATCTCCAAAGTTATATAATGTACTGTATATAGTTAATGCAATTGCTGAGTGCTGATTAGATAGATAATGTTCTTAATCAGATGAATGGGCTTTATTTTATTGCACTTATCTGCTGTTTATGAATACCATTGAAGTCACATCATGCAAATTATATTCTCTACTGGAGATAAAGAACTGGGGTGCAAGAAAAGAGAATCAAAGCTAACATTAAAAATTATTGTTGCATTTACACAACAGGCTTCTCAGCTGCTTTCTTTTTCAAAACTCACTGGAACACTTGATGGGAAGGAAGGTAGCTAATGTACTGTTATGTAATGATACTCTGTAGACAAAGAATCATAGTTTTTTTATCATGGAAGGAGTTAAAAAGTTTAAACAATGATAGAAGAAATATATTATTTCAAGACATGAGGCTGAATAATAATTATATTGTTGGTAGATGTCTGTCTAACCAGGCAGCTCTGCAATTCCATTAGTACAGTAACTTACCTCTTTCTAAGTGCGTTCATTATAATGTTAAATTGCCGACACCACCTGCCTCTCCTCCTCCTAGACCATCTTTCACATCTTCCTCTCCATGTCAAGACACAGCTGCTTCTACTTATTCAATCTGTGCATCTAGCATGTTTATACCTTTTTAATTTATTCTGTTTTTTTTTCTGTTACATTTTGAGGGTGATACGGTAAATAATATACTACACAGTTATTACTATATTATATATACTATAATCAGATATTATAGTATAATATTTCAGTTATTAGATGATCTTTTATTGACATTGTCAGCTGAGAGTGTTTGTGGCATATCTGTTAACAAATCATAATTAGTCAGTCAGCAAACTGATCTGTGAGTCCGATACCACACACATACAGTACCCAAGCCGTTGAATGAAATAGCCACTGTTATCAAGTAGTGACATGGCTGCAAATGCCATTCTGAGTTTTGAAAATCAGTTATTAGACACAGTGTAAAGTGCAGTGCAAATTCCTTGTACAAAATATGATTATATTGATTTTATGGGAGAGGTTGAAGAGGGTGCGGCCTATTCAACACATACATTTAGATGTGCCCCATTCAATTATGAAAGTGCCTACAGTATATACTATATTTTGTGTGTTAAAACATGTTTTTTTATTGTTCTGTTATGTAGTTTGTGAGAAAACATAGAGCATGTAAAGTATTCTATGTACTATGTGGGGTTTTAGAACTAAACTGTTCACTGCCAGAAAGAATACATTTGTAGAAGGAAAATGTTAGTTCCAATTGAATTTCTTCTCCAAGAAAGTATGATAACACGATTTTAAAGATCTGGATTGTCTGAGAAACTGTACTTCTATCAGTACAATCCTCAGTATTGTCCAGCACATTACTGTCTGCTGTAATTAGTGAAAATATGTGAAACAGTATGGGGTCTTCCCGGTGAGCTGTTGTCGGGTTGTCAAGGTTCATGCTAGCCTCTTGCAGCATTGATGAGCGCAATGAAGAATTCACAGAAAATGCATCTAATAGTAAGTACTACACAGCCAGCATTTACATCTCACAAAATCAGCAGCTCCTAATGTTTCACGAGGAAGATCGTTGTAGCATCTCGCAACCTGTTGTAGCTGTAAGGAAATTCAGAGTGAGTGTGTTATAAATTATTGAAAAGCACAGCATCTCTTAGATGTGCATTTGTTGTATAACTTTTACTTCACTGAATCTGTCAGTATTGATAATTGTTTGCCTTTGTCATTGCATTCGCTGGCAGAGCGTACTGTGTACATGTAAGAATGAAGTAAATTACTGAGCATTCACATAAAGCCTTTTAAAGGGCACCCAAACAATGCCTCTACAAATTTCTGAATGTACCAATTTGGACACTTCCAGAGAAAGCAAGTCTCCTCACTTATAAGTAAAGAAACTGCTCCCGCTGTTCATTTGTTTCAGGATCATTAGAAAATGCTATCAAGGTTCCTAGGAGCAACACAAGTCAGACTTGTCCTGCAAATTATGTAAATAGAGTGAAGAAATAATCAAGTCACCAAGCTTTTCATGGCCTGCAGTACTTTGCAAATGGCAAAATGCTCAGCAACAATTTTCCTGAATGTGTATGAGACAAAATGAGACAGCATGTTTGAGGAACATTACTAACTGGAATCGCTCCTTGACATTTTGTAGCTTCAGTTTAAAATAGAAATGCTTGCAAAATATAGTTTTGAAGTTCTCTCCAGAATAAAATACAAAACGCATTTTTCCCCTTTCAGATTTCACTAAAAATAAACATAGCTTTAATGAACATACTGTAGAACTGGCACAAGAGAGTGTTTCTAATATCAAAAGAGTAGTCTCGTCAAGCATTTAAAGAAATGCCCAAGTGAATTTATGTCTTCCAAGATCGCTTTCAAGTTGTACACAACATAAAATGTCCAGACTTTGTTTCAATTATCCACTGACTTTTTCCATTTGGTGTAATTTATCCACTCAGTTTTTCAGTCCTTACCGAGCTTCTGCTAAGCATCTAATTTAGCCTTACAGCTCTAGTCCTTTCTATGCCAGGTGGAGAGTTTAAGGATAACTTTCCTAATCCCATTTTTTACTTTGTACACAGGATATTGTTTTCCTGCTTTCACACCTGAATAACTTGTTTTGTTTCTACAGGCATTTTCTCTTCAAGACCTCTTCAGGGACCACTCCCCTCTTCAGCAGCTCATCTCCGGGCTACCCATTGACATCCGGTACCGTCTACTCCCCACCACCACGGCTCCTTCCCCGAAACACCTTTTCTCGCAGCGCATTCAAGCTGAAGAAGCCCTCTAAATACTGCAGCTGGAAATGCGCCGCTGTGTCAGCCATTGCTGCTGCTGTTGTCCTGGCTATACTGCTTTCCTACTTCATAGGTATGTCCCTTCGCTTTGAAATGCTTCTGCGTTGTGAGAAATAGCACACCTGAGTCCCATAGGTTTGGCAGCAGGACTAAATAACAATGTTTGGTTATTTTGAGGTTTGGAATAATGCACTCTTCCTATTCTCTTTACAATGATACAATTCACTAGCTCAGTGCTACCTGGAAAAATCCCTCTGCACTGCTATTTGAATGGCTTTCAATGTTTATATGTTGATAATGCAGTATTGAAGAAAATAGAAATAAAATGTGTTCTTTAAGAGCAGATTTTATTTCCAAACATATGCTAAAGAAGAATCTCTTGAGGTATATAGGATGAATGGTATGTGTATAGAGCTGCTAAGTTTCTGAAGTATTGGGAGTGGAATTTGAAAGCATTTCTCCTCTACATTTAGCAAATTTTGTTGCTGCCTGACTTATACATCACTTGTATTGCCTTGTCCCCAAGCACGTTTACAAAACTAAATCGTTTAACCCAGAAAGTTGTAATATGGTATGCTTTATCGATGAGAGCACATGAAAATAGTCAACAAATGAATTTCACCTGGGATTTGCAGCTTGGAAAAATATATTGTGCTCCTTTTCTTGGTTGCTAGCTAAATAAACAGACCCTCACACTTGTTTGGATTTAATACTGTTTTATGTGAAATGGCTTTCATTGTGCATTGACTCCTGCATGCATGAAGTGGATCACAGTGATGCGAATATAAGTGCTTTCCTAGCTGCCTGTGTCTACAAACCCAAGACGTGGTTAAGATTTGTAAAGCTTGGCTTGACACCATTACTGCATGGCATTTGGAGACAGTGAAATTTTCAATACCAGAATTCATAGTGATTTTGATGCTGTTAGCTGCAAATATTTAATCTACAGAGCCAGCTGTCCAGCATTGGTTAGGCTTATAAGGTAGATAATATCCATATAGTATTTTTTGCTGTACCACTGAATTACTTTGAATTTGCTTTTGCTCTATTTGTTGATGTTTTTCAGCAGGAATTTCTTAAACCTATTATTTAGCAGTCCTTACCCGCACTTGTATACTTACAAGGACAGCTGTATTTTCAAAACAATTTAGAATTAGCAGTCCCCTTTATAGTGCGCAAAGAAACATGCTTATTATGTGCCAATGCATTCCATGGCATTTGAGAGAAAACAATCAAATAACCCAATCTTATGATAATTTCAGGATTGGATGTTGCTTACTGTTATCTATGAAAATCTTGCAGCTTGTAAGTTGATTGTTCCCAATACTTTATTAAATGATTACAATTCTAAAATATTCGTCATGAGCTTCTTCATAGAACAGCCTTTAATGCTTTTATTTCTCATGTGGCGTGTACATGACATATGATAATATAAAAAGAAACAAGCAAATGCAGTTTTCTTTTTTCATGGTTTATTACAAAACAAGATTTCAATATTTAGGCATTAATGTTGCTTTCATTCTGATCTGTATTGTGAGCTTTGATGTATTATACATTATGATGATGTATTGAGATCCTTCAGAACGAATTGGAAAACTCGACAATAAGAGATTTCCCAGTTCCTTGATGCAGTCTCATCAGTGACTTAAAGGGAAGTTCAAATCGCACAGGGTTAATATTATGATTCATGAAGAAGAAAGCAACTCTGAGCTACAAACAGAATCGGGTTTACATTTTGAAGGTGGGAGATGGAGGTAGATGTCTTTGAATAAGAAAGCACAGAAGCAACGTGAACAGAAAGGTTTTCCATTACAAGTGGGATTACGTTCAGATTTAGCTATACTGTACATTGTTCTCTGCTGGGCCACAGCTGTGGTGTGCCTCTGTAATTCTACCCATGAATTACTAGCAAATAAAGCTGCCATTACAGCACTCTGCTTTCTAAACTCTAGAACATGAGAAAGAACAGTTTCTTGAAGAACTGTTAAAATTGATTTGAAAATCTAAGATTTAGTCAGTTCAATTCTTTTTTCTTAATGTTTAAAGAAGACCAGCTTGCCACTGGTATTGGAACATTAAGTGCATCGCAATCCCATGATTGGAGCAGCCAGAAGCATTGCTGAAGCGAAGCTACAGTTGAAATTAGGGGATGAGGAGTAGTGTTTGGGATTGGACAAGAGGGTGCTGGGATGCGACACGTATTCTGTAGTGCACTAGCGGGATGACCTCTTTTGCAATACTCTGCTGTCTCTGACTCAGCGAGAATAAAGCCAGAGTGTAATATGTGAAAAGTTCCTAAATAAATGCATGGATACTGGATTGTATTGTAGCTAACATATTACTATATCATGCTAAGTAGGAACATTCAAGGCGCATACTATGATGGGATTTTTTTTCAAGCTCTATGTTAAATGGACAAAAAAAACCTGCAATCAGCTGGGTAAAAATATATCTATTTTTTAAAGTTCATTTCTAAAAGAAATACAACCATTATACTCTTTTAACATTAATTATTAATAAGTTATTCTCATCTGTTACATCTTAAATGACTGAAACCTTGAGGAAAAATGACAATTAATTGCACATATTTTTATTACCAAGAGACTTGCCTTGTAGAGCCCTTGTCATCTGGAGCAAACCATAAAACTTTTAGAGATTTTACATTCACATTGTGAGGTGTGCATGCTCTGTAGGCCAGCATTGCCTCACTAGTGTTTTCCTCTCAGACTGATAGTTTCAAGCTCTCAAGACCATAGAGGTCCAAACATACTCTATCCCTAAAGCTTTTAAAATGTTATGAAGCACGGTCGAGACATCTTCAGGGTTTGCAACCTGGTTGCTAGGATACAGGTGAGCTATCCTGATGCAAGGAAATCAAGTCTGGCATCATGTTTTCTGGGGAATAAAGGTTTTCTTTTTATCTGTCTCATGAGAGATTTTTTAGGTACGGTAGCAATTAAAGCATAAACAACAACTAACTAATTTTCTCTAATTGATGAAAAAAAGAATAAATTGAATCTCAGGGTAATTTGTTCTTGCTTCTACATTTATGTTTTTACTTTAGTACATTAGAGTATTTTCATGCTGTACAAGTTCCTGAATACATTTCTGAAAGCATATCACCTTCTTGAAATGTCAGGGAATATTTTAGCGCTATCAAAATTTAAGTGTTCAACCTTGTTTCAGTAATGTATAATAGGAATCACAGAATAGGAAGCATTTACTTCTCTTTCTTGTGATCAGAGAGAGGTAAATTAGGCAGTAATGCTGAGAGAGCAGGCCATTTCCTCATGGTGGATATTAAATGCAGCCATATAGTGTAGTTCAGCATCTGCTGTAAGATTTGCAGTAATCCCACTGTTGATATTAGTTTCCCTACCTTCAACATATAACAGAATTAAACAGATTTTTGTTGTATTTTTAACAGGATCTATAGCTATCTATGTATTTTTATCATGTGCATTCAGACTTTATGCATGAATAATTCAAATGGTGCTCAGATGTCTGTCTTTTGGTGCACGTCCACTGTTGATTGCATCCATATTTATGAGAATCTCATTACCCCTTATAGGGTTTAGTCTTTTATGATGGCTGACATTGCAGGGGAATTGAAAATGTTAAACAAAAATGTTGGAAAGCCAGTGTCAGCATGCACTGACAAGATCAAGCCTCCATAAAGAGACCACCTCCATCCACTACCGTGCTTGGCCACCTTATGTCTAACCAGAGATCCCCGCAGCATGGCAAGCAAAACCACAGGCATTGACACGGCGTTGCATGTCTGTCTTTTTCTTCTCAGCCAGCTCAAAGACTTTTCAAATTAGAAAAGAATACAAGTCCCACTTTGCCCTTGAGCACGCAGAGGAGGATACAGACATCATCTGTTGGTGAAACTTCTGGTTAGCTCCGTGTCACCTCTGTGTCGAGAGACAGTGGATTGTAATATATCATTAATGACTGCCCATGTGGTGACTGTCAACGCTGTACAGACGGAAAACAAATCCCCTTACATGCTGTGTGGAAATAGTTTTCCCTCAGTCTGCAAGATTTTTTTTTGTCTGTGCTTACCAGCTGAGAAGTGTGTGTTTTTTAATATGAATTAGTTTCATGAATTCTGTTTGTTTTTTTACTTAACGTTCATAGTCAATCTATTAGATATAAGCACATTTTGCACATCATGTTGAATGTCATCTTATTTGTACTGTATCAGCATAAAAAAATATCCTAATAAGTGGGAATTTAATATCATGTTGCTTCAGTTTCTTAGTGAAATCTACTGAGTTGTCTTTGTACCTTAGGTTTGTCAATCCAACACATATTAGCTTTACATATACTGTGTTATACAGTATTAGTGATCTCTCTGTATTAGATTGTATTCTTCATTAAATTGTAAACTGTGTAGATGATACCTAATTAACTTAATGCTTTGTTCTTGCATTTTCCCTTTTTATTATTGTGGACTCTGCTCCTGTGTCTTTTTATCCTGCATTCAGTCTGTTATTCAGGGTTTGAAGGGTTTATTATTAAACACAGTAAACTGCATTCTGCAGTCAACATACTGTATATGTAATACTTGGGATAAAGAATTTGCATGAACTAGCAATATAGTGTTCCATTTTATTGTCATATGGAAATAATTTAATAATTATCTTATATTTCCACACATTTTACACATTTTCTCTGCATATAAGTGTATCCTTTAAACATCTCTTTAAATTATCAGACTTTATATACTGTATACATTAGACATACTGTAAATAATGTGTTATTTTCTTAAACTCATCATTGAAACATGGTTCCAGTTAGGTTTGTTATTTCTGTATACAAATACAAACAGTTCTGCTGCAATTAAAATCCATAGGATGCTATATTCTTCACATTCCTGTTAGGAGTGCGGCTTCCTGCCCCCTCTAAGCATCATCAGGATCGTGCTCCATTCCATACATGTGACGCTGTAATTACAATATTTTGAATCTACTGTAACTAAAAACACACCGGTACTCATAATTTGTAAAAAAAACACAAATTTTTGCAGATAACAAAATGCTGAGATATGTAAAAACTGGTCCCTTT